ATTGCCACCCCCCTGGAAAACCCGATTAAATGCGCCACCCTGTATATTTCAAAATGCACAAAATCGCCGAATGCCGATTAATTTGGAGTAAACCTGAACAGCAACTTCATATATAAGAGATTTTGACTATATTAACTAAGTAGAAAATCAACAGATTTTCAAAAGAAAAATTTCGCTGTAGAATCTTAAATTAGCTTTTGAAATCGGTTAATGCTATAAATATCTCAACGAATTGAGTCTTGGAGAGAAAATATTAAGAAAGTAGAAATATTCATGATACTCTCTAAAAAATTATTTATTGTTATTGATTTCCGAATTTTAGCTGAAGCAAAAATAAAAACAATTAGGCAGATGTTCCTACTTTTCGCATCAATTGAATGAAAAAAAAAATAGTTGGCATCGTATTTTAGAGAGATCGGAGGTTGAGATTCCCTGAGAAATTCTGCCTTTACCACTTATTTCTGACTCTACAAGAGTTACCAAATTACACTGAACTTCTACTTCAACCTAAATGTATATATTTTATTACTTAAAAAAAATCTTTAAATATATATAGAGGCAGCTAATTATTAATCCGTTCAACGTGTGTATATTTTCAATCGAGTATCACTTACGTTGTATATTGACAATTTATTTGAACGCGACTCGATTTAAGAAGCGCCATCTCTGTCACGCCAGGTTCTCATATATTTTTTTCTTGCAAATAAAATTGAAAAATTGTATAAATTGAATAAGTGTTGCAATAATAATAACGAAAATAATTAATAGAATTTATAATAAATAAAAAATTGAAAAAACACACAAATATTTATATTATATGATATGTAGACTTTGCCTTGTAGACCATGTAGAGATGGTTACGTGGAGAAAATATGTATTTGTCAAACATTCATACCTGTCAAAAGAAACAACGTAAACAACACGAAGTGAAGCTATTCTGGTGAATACTATTATATTCTGGTGGTTGAAAAACTAGAACATATTAGAAAGATGTCAAATGTACATGTCATATGGCGTTTTACTAGAAATATTAGAAAAAATTAGCACATATTAGAATCCGTGGTTTCCCCCTCGCTTAAAGGCAAAGCTACATATCATATAATATAAAATATTTGTGTGTTTTTTCAATTTTTTTTATTTATTATAAATTCTATAAATTATTTTCGTTATTATTATTGCAAAACTTATTCAATTTATACAATTTTGCAATTTTATTTGCAAGAAAAAAATATATGAGAACCTGGCGTGACAGAGATGGCGCTTCTTAAATCGAGTCGCGTTGAAAGCCGAATATAAGTGATGTAATTTATCTATCGCACATAACCAATGAATGTGATGTGCCCAGAAAAAAAAATAAATCTTTCATGATGGACAGAAAAGTGATGGGCACAGAAAAGAAATCTAATTTTAAATCAAATGAAATAAATAATCATATATCCTCCGACATTAAAAAAAAACTTTCTATATTCATTGAAAAATTCTGTTTTCATTTTTAAGAAAAAAATTATAAATTCATTAATACTTTTGTGTTTTTCTCTCTCTCTTGCAGACATGTTCACAATTGATAAAAACCAGTTTGAAACTATCACTTGAGATGAAACGTAAAATGAGCACTAGCGATTCAAGCAGTGTGGATACATCGATTTGTAAAAAGATTAAGCAAGATGTGGATACTAGCGAGGATGAAATGATTACGATTAAGCCGAAACGGTCCGCGACTTGCGTAAGTTCCACACAACACATTTTATGAATGTCGCAAAGTTATTACATTTCCATTTATTTATGTAGCTTTCACCGGAAGATGAAGATCGAAGACGTCGACGCCGTGAAAGAAATAAAATAGCAGCGACAAAATGTCGAATGAAGAAACGTGAGCGTACGGTGAATTTGGTGAGTGAAGCTGAAACATTGGAAACACAAAATATCGATTTAAAGGCTCAAGTCCGCAGTTTGGAAATCGAACGTCGATCTCTTACCGAAATGCTTCAATTACATGCCAATTCATGTACACGAAACGTCGGTTTTCAATTACCGAATATCAATGCCAACATTTTGAAATATTTGAATGAAATCGGTTTGGTAAGTCCACCAACTGAAACAACCAACAGTAACATCATAAATAATGTTGTCACCATAAAAAATGAACCAGTTTTAAGAACGAGAAATACATCCATAAAAACAACGCAAAAACTGCAAAAAATCCCTTCTGTAAGTACATTGAGATTCAATACGAGGAGTTCGCACCAAACAAATAAAACACTGCGAACAACAAACGTCTTAAGTCCCGTTACAGCAGTCAATACCTCCAGAAATTGTATCATTGGAAGTGTGAGCAATACATCACCGATACAAGATTGTAAGCCTTTACCATCAATTGATATGGGTTTTTCGGAAGGATCCATTACTGAAAGCTTAACCTCAACAAGTAACTATTGTAAATCGCTAATTTCAAGCTCAAGTGATTGTTATGCAATCAGCAGTCCAGATAGCGGTTTCATTAAATCACCAGTTGATATGGCAAGCTATTCACAAATGATCAAAAGTGACTACATTCCCAATTGTGATACTGGGCTATTGAATGATACCGGCAATGCAAACAGATCAATTGAATTCATTTTAAAAAGCGAATTAGTTGACACAAATGAGAGTCCGTACACAAACATAAACAGTGCTGATCGCTTTTTGTTCGATGGAGTTACTGACACATTCGATCCAGATATGGATACGACGGGTAATTCGAGCAATCCATCAGCATTGCTTGACGCCCAACCGCAAATCCATGGCGGATTGAAAGAACATTTGCTACTGCAAGGAATGAATAACAACAACAATTCCAGTCACATTAACAATAATCACCATCATCATACACATCTTGATGCAAACACAAACCAAAATATGATTCAAAATTTCGGTACGGTACCCAATTTGCCTGTGATATCTTCTGTGCTGCCGCCACCTCATTCAACATCTATTATTGAATTTAATACGTGCCAGCAATTTATTGACAGTTCCTTGTTGAAAGGTGATTTTCTAAGTCAAAATTGTGAATTTCTCGATTCACAATTTACCACAGACTTGGACAGTGGAGTCACCACTTACACCAATAGCAGCGGATGCTTGGCCTGATGGTTTTCCTTCAATGCCGATTGCGATAACATTGAATTTTAACGATTTTATTAGATCTTTAGGCTAAACTACACTTTACGACATCCTCTTGAAATCGATTTTTTTCAAAAAAATTATTATTATTAGTTATGAAAACGCTATTAAACGATTAATTAAGGATGGGGAAACATGATTTAAGCAAAAAAATTTTTTTCAAAAAAAACACTTTTCGTCAAAATATTTTCGAACTTTTTCGATTTTTTTCGATCAAAATCTTATTTTTTATCATTTATTCGGTACTTGAGCCCACAAAATCATTCTTATTCTTATTTTCCGTAATATCACGCAATGAAAAATTATTTTTTTCGTACAAAATTCCCGCTTGTTTACAGAATTCAATGACAGGCTCAATTCCATTTTTCTGTATCTTCGATAGAAACATGAATTTTGCTAAATATCCAGCGAAATATTTGTTTTGGCGGCGGTATTGAGGTATTCGATGTTTGGCTACTCTCCATGTTGCTTCGATAGTGTTTGTGCAAGCTCCCGTTTCAGGGTTTTTGAAGTTTTTAGAATGGTTGACAGTCAAGTGTGTGTAATTAAAATCACCCAATTTTGAATACGCTTTCCAACAGTCACTTATTATTGTTGAACCAGGCAGGATAAATTTTTGAATTATTGGTAATAGAGTATCCTTATCACGGCGATCGACTGGAATTAAAAAGAAATTTCCCGATTCGCGCTCCACACCACCAAAAACCCACTGTCCCTCAATGCGATGACCTTTGTTGTATTTGCGTTTTCCGAATTTCGATTCGTCGATTTCAATTGTTTTGCCCTCTCCACCTATTGCAAGTATCAATTGGTTGAAATTAGATTGGGGCGCAAGCATTTGTTATTGTAGATAAAAAGACTGTATTCATACGTTTGCGCGCGCGCGCAAACGTATGAATACAGTCTTTTTATCTACAATAACAAATGCTTGCGCGCGC